GAGGCTAACTGAAAAGGAGAATGATTTTAAAGGGGTCTGACAGTTCTGAAAGCTCATCAGTGAGACAGTTAAGAAAATGCTAAAAAAAACAAAACCAGAAGCACCTTAATTAGGTTCCCAACTCGAGGATAGAGCTCCTTGCTGAGATCCTCTCTCTGCAGTCGCAGAGGAATGCAGATAGACTGAGACAGACAAAGTCTACAGCAGCTAAGGTGGGGCCTGCAGCATCTTTTATCTTCACAGCTTGTCAGCCAGAATAATTTACCTAAAAATAGCTGCCTGAAGTAGAGCTTTGAATGTAGAATCTTTTTGCCCGTAACACAGCGAGTCTCAGTAGCTTCACTAAACATTGATCTCCTAGAGCAGGGCAGGACTTCAGCTACATGTTTACTCTCCTGAAACAGCTGCAGTATCGTGCAGAGTCAGGAACTTGTTTCTGTGCTTCTGTGCTTATAGGAGATTCTGTTCTGGTGGACAGCTCTGTTTGTGGAATTGCCACATAATGACCTTGTTAGTTTTGTGTGATTATTTTCCTAAGGATTACCTTGTTACCTTGTTCTCTGTTGCCAAATACTTTACCCTCTGAATTCTTTGGAACAGAGACTGTTGATGGTATATTTGTCATATGTGTTACATAGTAGAATCTCAGTCTGTGATCAAGAAACTGGAGAGTTATCCTATTGCAATCTGTTTTCAAGAGAAGTGCGATAAATGTGGTGCTCTGTGCCAAATAATTAAATAAAGTTCTTGAAAAATTTCTTTTCTACTACTGTTGGCTATTATATGCACATGATACCTTTCAGCTAAAGGAGGAAGTCTGTTTACTGAAATTCTGTCATCCTCTGTTTCCCCACTTTATTCAACAGGAACAAGCAGCAACAACATATGACATATCTGCTCTTCCAGATATTTCCCAAAAAACTTCTCCAAAGAGAAAAATCACCGTTGGACAAAAAATAAACAGATGTGGTGAGTTAAGTGAAATTACTACTAAGTCCATTTCCCACTTGTCTTATCCTGAGTCCTTGCTGAAATAGCACAAGTGGTGAAGAAGATGAGCTTCTTTTCATGTACAGCAGATCTCTATGGTCCCTTTCTACCAGCCATACATATACAGTACATAAAAGCTTGATATCAAGTGTAGGTCAAGTTCTTCATAACTTAGAACATCATGAGTGTAAGCCCCTGCACAGGACAATCTTATGTATATGGCAGAGATACCTAATTCCAGTTAATTGAGACTTTGAAATCCTGCTGTTGAAATTCAAGGCAGATGTTTCAGAAACAGCCACCACTGACTCCAAAGACTGTTTATTAGGCATTCAACTTCTCCTCAAGTTGGAGAGCTAAATATACCTTCAAATAGCAGCCAGGGCTATACCAGGACAATAGCTCTGGATCTAGAGTTCATAGAGCTGAAATTCTCCCTGGTGTCTTAAGGGGAAAGGGAAAAGGGTGTCGCATAGGAAGAACTGAATTGTTACTGGACAGCCGATTTCCTCAAGTAGGGCTTCAGTCAGTTCTACTGGAAGAAGGTGTTCTCCAGAGCTGCAGGTTCAAGATGCTTTGTGTTCTGTTCTGATAAAAATCTTCTGCAGTCTGAAGTAGGCAAGACTGCAGTTGCTTTAGTAGTGTCCTTGTCCTCCTTTGGTTTGTGTTAGTGAGCATGCTCTTGAGACCAAAGCAAATCACAGAATTTGGTCCTCAGAAAGTCATCAGAACTGCCTGGGCATATAGAGCGAGGGGTCAAGAGGTGATGGTTGAAAGACTGGGGACAAAGGAAAACACTGAAAAAACAGTGTCTTTAGAGGCCATTGGTCACCCTTGATCATCTCTCTATCCAGCTGTGAGACCAGCACTTTGATCTGCTCAGAAGCATAACCACTGTCCTCAAGAACCTTCATCACATACACTGCTCAGGGCTTTGTGAGTATATGCGGCAAATGTTGGTGCGGGAGGAAGGGAGAAAGAGAATTGTGGTGTTAGAGGATAGCACTGTCTGGAGGCTCTGACGGTGTATGTACAGCTGTGAGTCACTGTGCTATAGTCAGGGTCTGAAGAATACAACATCACCCTAGGTAAGGTGGTGAGGAAGATGAGTTTGAACAAGGAAATATTTATCTGCTCAGGTGCACCCTTTTTTGCTGGGCGCAGCAGATCAAGCTTTTGGTGCTCTTTAGGTTGTATCTAGAGGGTGTTAAATCAATAGTGGCTCTGACTTGCAGATGAAGTCTTGAACCTGGGGTTATCTGCAGTCTGGCCAGAAGTTTCTCTGCTCTGCTTTGTAGGCAGGCAGACACTAGGGGTATTTTGCAATTCATGTGTCTGGTTGTTTTCCAGCCTTGATCACGTAGTAATACAGAGGACAAAAGGGAGGGGATTTTAGGATAAATGCTATGGCCAGGAATGATCTTCTCAAAAGTTCTCCACATCTCACCTTCCCTTCAGCATCCATTCCCAGCATTCTAATCCAGCTGCGTTCTAAGGGCCTCCAGAGAAGGAGTCTGGGCCCAAAACGTCATGTTCAATAGCCTATGACAGACCTATCCTTTATCTAACTCATGTGTGTCTTCCCATACCAGTGAATTGCAAAGTCTGGAGTGTAGCACTGTTATCCCTTGAGCACAATTGTGTGGACCCTGCCACATAGCAGAGCTGGTTTTCTAAAGTCTGACCCCAGCTTTAGTCTTGGAAGCTGGAAAGCAGGACTTTGGTTAGGGACAAGAGCAGAAGTCACAGCAGTGCCTTGCTACAGCCTCCCTTGCCATGCTCAGATTTCTGTGGCCCATGGAACTGAAAAATTGGTGCCCAAACACCAATGGGTGTATGTGGTGGGAACTGATGCTGTGGTACATAACAGAAGTTGGTTTCATTCCTGAGTCCTCTGTTGTGAAAAATTGTGGAATTCCTCAGAAAGAATGCTAAACTAGCAGAGAGCTGGTTTAAGATGCAAAGTCAAATATACAGAAGTGAGGAGTTCTCAGCATGTTATGGTTAATTGTAGACAACTGTTTTGCCTCTTATTGTTGACCACAGGTAATTCTTTTTGTGTTTGGCCTCTGCTTCATTTGGTCTGCAAAGTGCTCATGTGGAAGAGGCTCAGTTAGGGTGACTAGTGCAGCCATGCTCCTGGCACCTCCTATCTGTGGAGCTTTTCGATATGCAGCTTCTGTTTAATTTTGAATTTGTTTTTTTTTGCATGGGCATTCATAGGATGTTGCTATATAAAGATGTGCAGCTGTATCTAGTCTTGAGCATATTATTTATTCATGTGGGTATGGTACACAGAACTAAAGCTGTCCTTGGAAAAGCCTTGCAAAATCTGATGATTTTCTGTTCTTCATATTTTATTAGGACCATCTCAATATTCTCAGTCATATTCCTTAAAAATTACATGATACACCAGTCTTCCTCCTGTTTTTAGCACCTTCCTTGATCTGCAACAGAATTGGAGGAAATTCAAAAGGAAATTCAGACAGAAAAGTGACCTGTAGTGCCTGTACAGTTAAGTCCACATCACAGCTTCTTGACTATCTAAATAACCTGTGACTGTCAAGTAGTGGCTGAGGGAATGAACATTAATCCCTGCTTTTGCAATCTTATGACACAGAAGGGACCCCTTCTGTCTAGAATTGAGGGGACTGTGCCAGAAAAGTGCGGAGTGTGGAGGACTTCCACCTGGGCAGATAATTTTCCCTTTGTTTGCCCATGGGTTTGCATGTAGGGGATGGTTTTTCTGAGGGACAAGAATTGAGCGGATAAAGGCAGGGCTGCTTAGAAGTGCCTGAATAGTAAAGCACACTTTGCTGCAGGTTGTGTTATGGTCACCACCAAAGAGTCCACCCCAGTTTTATCCTGGTCCCCTCACACACTAATGCCTTGTGCAGGAACCAAAATTGCACCTCCAGGCCTGACCCCTGGCTTCCAACACGGCATCATTTGTGCTTTTGGAAGGCAGCTGCAGGTGAAATGTATGGATGTGTGGGGAGAAGGGGTGGCTGACTCTCCAGGAGCATTGACTGGGGATCCTCAGAGAGGACTTGAGCTCTGGTGATGCCTCGATGGGCAGGAGCTGGTGGCTCTGGTTTACTTTCTGGTGCTGTGTAGTCAAAGAGCAGGCTGAAGCCCGTGGTTTCTGTCTCCCATTCACAGCCAAGATCCCTCCCCTTGCTGCTCACTCAGTGGAGAGATGCGAGGAGGAAAGGATGCTGTTAAAGATGCTGCACTTTGCTCCAGTACTTGGCACATCCTTTGCAGTATCGGCTGTTTTCTGAGCAGAAATGCTGCCTGCCTCCCAACCAATGCAGTGATTCCCTATTGCTCCCTTTAAAAGGAGCTGGAATCATAACCCCGGGAGCGAGTGAGTGATGCGGCTGCTGCACAGAGAGTGACTGAGAGGAAGAAAATTGGAGAGACTGGAATATGTGCCTGCCTCAGCAGCACTGCAGTGGTAAAGCCACTGACTGACTACATGCAGGTTTACTGTTCTTTATGCATTGCTACAGAGAACCCAGAAGTCGGGATGAAACTCGTCAGCCTCTTTTTTCACTGCTTCTCTGTTGTCATCATGCATTAATTGCTGAGAGTTATTTTCCTTCCTGTGGCTTACTGCCTGCATCTCTTCTTGTACTGCAGGAGAGACAGTGAAGGAGAGAGCACAGCACCAGCCCGGTGTCCTGTCCCACAAGGAGGATTCTGCATGATGTGCCAGGGCAGTCAGGGGCTGCTGCAATGGTGCATAGAACCTCTGGAACAGCTGGATTTAGGATTATTAATGCTTTGTAAAGGTGTCCCAGACATTATCTAGCAATTAGCTGGAGACAGCAGCTGCCCTTTGGGGCTTTCTGGCTGCTTTCTATTTTCCTCTCATTACTGCTTTCACGTTCATCTGGGTCGACAGCATTTGAGCTAGGGGAAGGGACTTTCTTGGCCAGGAATTGGAGAGTGCTGTGTGGAAAGTGAAGGTCTGGGCTCTGGAGGGAACTGCAGTCTGACCGGCCATGGCTCAAGCAGCTAAGCAGCTGAAGAAAATCAAAGATATCGAGGCTCAGGCTCTGCAGGAGCAGAAGGAGAAAGAAGAATCCAATCGCAAGCGCAGGAACCGCTCTCGGGACAGGAAGAAAAAGGTCAGTGGCATGGGGGCAAGCAGCCCTATATCTAGGTGCTTGTGCTTGTGGCAGTGAGCGCTGTTTGTGTTTTGGGGGCGGGGGGGTGGTGAAGGTGACAGAAGGGTAATCTGGTCCCTGTTCAAATTTGTGTGCAGCCAGCACAAGAAACAGTCTGCCAAACAAAGGACAACTTTTGGGGCCAGGAATCTGCTGTTTTCCCTGACAGCTTAGGGAAGGAGTGGGGTATAAAAAAGCCAGCTGAAGTGAGAAAGGAATTGAGAGGTTTGTCAAGGCAGCTAAAGAGACTCACTTAGATGAGTTACAGATTTGATCTTTAAGATAAAATTGCTGGCTTCCTGCAGTTTCCCAGAGTTGCTCTGTGTCTGTGAGAGACCTCCATCCCTTTCTCTACTGCAGGAGCAGTTTTGATGTCCATTCCAAGCCGTGCTTGATCTCTGCCAGAACACTGAAACCAGGGTTCAGTGGGAGCAGACCACTGACAGAGAAAACAGTTTGTGCGTGGGTCTGTGAGATCTGCTGTTGCTTAGGGTGGGCTATATTTGTGGATGGGACACAGGTCATCCCTCCCAGAAAAGCCACCTTACTTGGTGGCAGCAGGTGAGTGGGGTGTCAGGAGCAAGAAGAGTCCCCTCTGCTCATACCAACCTTCTGGAGCCTTGGGTCCACCAGCTGCTCAAAGCTGTAGCTCCTCTCTGGAAAGTCACTGCCAGTTTTTTCCTTGCCACCAGCTTCCTGCAGGAGCAGGCATGTTGTTCAGATAGCTTTGCTACCCCTTGAAGACCTCTTGAACTGAATATTCTTGCAGCAAGACCTGAGGGTTTATGTCCTATGCACCAGTGCAGAGAGGCAGAGGGGAGAAAGGTGAAACCAAGGGTAATCAAGGATATATCTGAGAGGAGGTTACTAAACTGGGATGTTTGAGGTGGGCTTCTCCTCTGCCTTCAGCAGGCTTGGAGACTTGCAGTGTGCACTCTCTCAGCAAGAGCCTCACAGCAGAGCTCTACTGCTTGAAGCATCTCAACAGCTACACCCTGAGGGTCCTGAGAAGAGTTTTGCTGAGATGCTGGGGACACGCACTGCTAACCAGCCCTCAGACTTTTGCTCTTCCTGCCACACTGCTGAGCAACTACTAGTCCGGGCTGTTTGGGCTAGTCCTGGACACTAGAATTCCTAGATTTTATTCATCCCTGTTTCTGGTGAAGGATCAGTCTGTGAGTTTGGTGAAAACCATCCTCTCCCCTTCTGCACACTCCCCACCCCCTCTCTTTAAAGTACAATATACTTGTGTCTTGGTGATAGATTGGGAGATCCAAAAATACCTGCCAAGTGTCTGGACTTCCTCATGTGGAAGGTACTAGAGAGGGCACCTTCTCGCCAGCTCCTTGTGAGAGACCTGGGTTGTACTTGCTGCCAAGACACACAAACGCAAATGAGGGAGCTGGAGAAGCACCACTAAATACACCCAAAGGGGTCTGATTCTCTCGGATGGGATAGATCTTACACTGGTAAACATGCCTTTTGTAGTGCACTATTTGGGGTGGTCGCAGCATGGGGAGCACTGGGCAAGGTCTCCTTGCAGAACTCAGCAGGTCTCTGGCATGCTGAGGAGGAGCTGATCTCCAGCTATCGCTTCCTGAGGCATGAATTCAGGGGATGGACTGGCAGGGGGTGCCTGGCCTGCCTCTCAGCTCTGTGACTATGGTCAGGATCGGCAGAGCCCACTGTTGGCCCTCCTCTTCCGCTTGGGACCAGAGCTGGGTATAATGACGTTTGCTTTTCATAATGCCATCTGACCAGAGCAGCCCTGGAGGGGTCTGTGTCTGCAGAGAGCAGCTAATTAGGGGGAGATCAGTGGACACATTCAGGACAGACGTGAAGTCTGCAGACAGCAGCTAGGAAGTTGGGTGTGGGGTCTTTCATTTGCCACACTGTCATGTCAAATGCTGCCTTCTCCAACGATCACTGCTTCCTGCATGCAGATCCACGTCTTTTCCCTGCACGGCCTCTTTTACTAAAGGTTGGTAGAGCTGTTTGTCTCTTACATTGCCAAAGGGTTGTAAAGAGGTTCTGGTATGAAGAACCACCAAACCAGGAGATTTTGCCATTGGGCCAGCTCGTTCTTCTTATCTCCTGCCCCCAAAGCCTGGGTGTCTCTAGTGGCAGTGGTCTATTGTACAAGTCTCCTTTGGGCCAAGCTGAGGGCTACCAGAATATGTTGGAGCTTCTCGTTCTGTTTTGCTGCAGCGGTTGTAGGTTGTGTTAGCCTGGGTGTCTGTTGGTGCCCTCTGAGTCTATATGGGACTCGTGTCATGTCTATGCAAAAGGCCTCTCTTTTGAAAAGCTCCTGCACTAGCCACTGGAATGGACTGAAAACGCTGTTGTGCCACTGAGTCCTTCTGCTCCTCCACCTGTGCCTCTTGCTTCATATTTAGATACAGGCTCTTTTGGGCAGTACTTGCTCTGTGTTTGTACTGTGCAGCGTATCAGTGTCTTGATTCATGACTGAATCCACCACGCATCACTGCAATGCAAGTTATTAGTAGAGGGATAACTTATGATCTGAAGAGGTGCTGGCGTGATATGAAGCAGTGGAGATGGCCAGAGGAAGGATATGATGGCCCCAGAACAAGGGTCTTCTTGTGCCATGCAACCTGATGTTACGTCTTGGGGCATGAGAGCTTTGTAACCTTTAGTGCTTCCAGCCATTATTGTGTGGTTGTTGTGTCCCATGAACTGCATGGCGAAATCCTGAAAGAACTTTGTGTCCTGTGATACCTGGAGGCAGCGAGTTCTGCTATTTAATCCTACGTTGCCCAAACCCCTTCTCCTTGGATCATGATTACATTTGTAGCTTTTTGGTTTCCATGGCAATTTGTTGGCTTCTCTATGAAGTGCATGTAATGAGAACCTGATTGACCTTGTACTGTCCGTTTTTGTGTTGCGTGCCTCTCGTTTGTCTCTCGGCACAGAGGCTGTCCAGGTGTATAACCTTGTCACTCCTCCAGTATTCCCTGCCCCCTACCTGTGTAACTGAGACGATGAGTGCTGATGTTTTATTTGACAAGGGCTGCATCAAGGACTCTTGTCACTCACCCTTGCTCTCTGTGCAGCCTAGCCATGCTTGTGATTTGGTCCAAATCGTCCATTAAACAGCCAGCCGTGTTCAGAAGAGTATTGCTGCTCTGCGGGCTCTGCAGCACAGCTGCACGTTGCCTCAGACTGAGGATGACCCCAGAGAGCAAGCTTTCAGTAGTCCCATCCGTTCTTGCCTTGAGTTCAAGTGCTGAATTGTGAGGAAGTACGAGATCCAGCGTAACGCATTGGTGGCGTTTCAGAGTGCCCTGCAGACAGGCAGGTGTGGCAGAGAGCAGCCTGTTAGCAAAGGGGAGTATGAATTGAAGTCCACTGCCATTAGACAATTTGCCGAGCGCCATCCGGATTGGTTTCGTGCTATTCCTGCCACGGTATCCTGTCTTCAAATCTCTGCGTTTTGCTTAGATTGCCAGTTCATAGGGGAGCAGAGCCACTCGGTTACAGCTGCTAGAGGGTCTGATGTGGCCAGCCTCACTGACAGGCACGTGGTAGCAGACAGTAGCAATACCTGTGCTTTGGATGCAGTTATCTGTCTTTTTTTTTCCTGTGGTTCTGGGGAGGCTGAGATGGTCAAGAACACTTCCTTCTTTTCACTGCAGGTGTGCTGTGGTCAGGCTGCCTCAGGAGGCAGAAAGCCCTCACCTGGAAGTCATGCCGAGCACTTAAAATACAGCCCTGCCTTCTGCAGGATTAGTGGGGATCAGCAAAACACATGTGATGTTTTGACACGATTTGTGAGGCAGATCTGTAACTTGATGTGAACACAGTTACCGAGTCCTTTTTGAGTTGCATCTGGCTTGCTGTGGTTATATATTACAAGCAGAAAATGGACTAAATACCTTTCCAGAAACTCTGGAGGCATCAGCAGAGCACACCAAATGGGTTGTTACAACCGGCCCAGAGTACTTGATTTGCTTTTTGTTTCAAACAAGCATCTACAAACAACTTGCAGCTCTTCCAAGTGCCCTCACGATAGGTTCCTAGTGCCTGCAGCACCTTGCAACCTGACAAGCCATGACTGAGACTAATAAATAAATTAAAAAGTTAAGATTTTAATGAAAATCATTCCTCCTGTGGAAGTATACTTATTCTGGTACCAAATTCAGCTAAATATCCTTTTGAGCATGAGGAGGGGCTGAGACCTTCCTCTGAGGAGTATGAAGAGGCAGATACAGGCCATGATCCTCAGTTGGCGAGTGGGCCTGTGGGATTTGTGGAGCAGGAAGCTGGAACCATTAAAAAAAATCTGTGACAAAAGTTCTATGCAGCATATAAGACCAATAGCACTTCAGTAACAGCACCAATGCTAATGATCTATGAAGAACTCCTTGAGCGCACGTGTGAGAACAAGTGCAGTGTGTCTGCAGTGTAACTGTGGCTACTGGGTTAAATAACAATCTAACCAAAAGCTCGGAAGGAAATGCCTATAGTAATAGCTCTCAATGTTTAAATGAGAAATTAATAGTATGCCAGATATGGTACATTCTCTCAGTACATTCAGAGCAAGTTTTGCTTGGGCATCTAAAGAATAGAGGACAAAGCTGCCTGAATTTACCACGTTTTTTTTCCTTTTTTTTTTTTTTTTTTGGAGGTTTACTAAGGAACAATCCACTTTTCACTTTCCACTCCTATCTAGTTCCTTTGGTGTTTGGCAGGAGCTGTGGCAGCAAAAACTTTTCCACCAGCTAGAATGAAATGGTGGGAAAGGGCAAAGGGAGCTCTCAAGCATGGATAAGGAATAAATATGAACATAACTGTCTGACATCAGCTGTCAGAAGAAACTCCAAGCTGAGGTGTGTGAGGTGAGTTCAGAGAAGGTCTAGATCCTGGATGAGCAGCTCTGACAAGATTGAGGCAATGTAAATAATGCTAATGAAAATACTTTTGCATGAAAGAAATTTTGC